CTGAGGATCCCCAATTGTAATTATATTGATGTGGATGATGACGACGACGATGATGATGACGATGATGATGATGATAACGATTGGAAACAAATTGCTAGCAATCCCAAATGAAATCAAACAAAAGTAAAAATCAGTGAAAGTGAGAGTTGTACGTATATATTGCACGCCGTTGCATCGCTCTTGTATTTGTTTGCGTGGTATTATTTGTATTCCATCATTGTATCATTTTGTATCAGATACAATTTTTTAACTAAATCAAAATGTTGAAAAGATTATGTACAGTACAATGATAATACAGATAACATAGACAAAAGGACAATAACCATTAAAAAAAATCAACAACATACAACAACGTGCAACAACAATACAACAACATACAACAACATGCAACAACATATAACAACATACAACAACATGCAACAACATGCAACAGGAGCAACAAAATCAACATCAGTATCGATAACGAACAACGAAACAGCGCTTCATTTGACATTTGTAATTGCGAAACTGTTAATACTACATCTACCTACATTAACGATAATTTGAAAGCCGTAGAAATGTTGTTGTTGTTGTAGTTGTTGTTGTTGCTGCTGTTGTTGCTGTAGTAGTAGTAGTAGTAGTAGTAGCAGTAGTAGTTGTTGTTGTTGTTGTTGTTACATCACACACTTAGCAGCCAATAAAGCAAATTGTTTTTGTGGCAGTTGTTGTAACAACAATGTCTAGCAACGATATCAAATAACAACAACAACAACAAATCAAATTTAACGTTGAAAAACAACGTCAATTAATGAACAGCACCATTTAAATGCCATATATAATAGTTAGTGTTTTTCCGACTTGAATGATGCTAAACACACCAAACGACAACAACGACGACACAACCAGGCAACGATAGTAAAAAAAACATAATTAACAAAAAAACAAAAAAACATACACACAACAAAATACAAAACAACCACTACGCAATAAAAACAACAAGCAGCCCAACAACAACGACAAATAAACAACATAAAAACAGCAACAACACATCACAACAACAACATTGCCACAACAACAACATTGCTACAACACCAACATTACCACAACAACAACAGCAGCAAAAACAACAACAACAACAGCAGGAGCAACAACAACAACAACAACATGGGTGATATGTATTTATCGTTCCCATGATATGAGAGGCAGCACAAATGTATTAGAGGAGTGCCAGTGTAAATTCTTCTAATGCTCACATCATCACGGAGTCAGCTTGTTCTCTCTCTGCTTCATTAATACACACAATTCAACGCTCTCTTCACCTCTCTCTCTCTTTCTCTCTCTCATTTTTTCTCTCTCTTTTTCATCTTTTTCTATTTTATCTCATTTGCTTTTTTCATCTTTCTAATTTTCTTCCGTTATTTATACAACGAATCGACCTTACTTTTTTCTCTTTTCTCCCTTTTTTTTTTCTCTCTCTCTTTCTCTCTTTTTTTCTTTCTCCTCTCTTTCTTTCTCCTTTCTTTTCCTTTTTTCTATTTGTTTCTTTTTTTTTGTTATTAACAGTTTAACACAACTAATTAAACGCCTCTCTCTCTCTTTCTCTCAATTTTTCTCTCATCTTCTCTCTCTCTCTCTCTCTCTCTCTTTCTCTCTTTCTTTAATTTGTTTTTCTTCATTGAAATCTCTCATTCTCTTGCATATTCCGATCTTTATTAATTTCTGCCATTTAAAAATTTTTAAACTTATTTAACGCTTTAGTGCGTGTACTTAAGTACAATGTATACGTGCATGTATGTGAAAATATTCAAATATAAGGACATAGTTTGTTTCGTTCAATGATTTCAATAAAAACTTTAATTAAATTTTAATAATTAAGATTATTTTGCAAGTAGATTTTGGTTAATTATTTGTTTCACTGTTTGCATGGCGGTTTTAAATCACGAACCACTTCGGACTTTCATGCTTTTTTGATACGGACGATTGCTCTAAGAAAAACTATCAAAAATTGTCGTTGATGAATATGCAATAATTATAATTAATATTAATAATAATTAGTAATAATAATAATAATTAGTAATTATTGTCATTAATATTGCAATTAGTAATTGGAATAATGATAGAAAACAAAATTAATTTTTGATTTCAGGAGACAGACGGCTGAAGAGAGAGAAGCCGAGAGGCAGGCTGCCAACAGGTTTGTACCTTTATCAGCATCCCCAAATCACACATACAAAACGTACACCCCTACACAAAACCTCACAAGCACCACACATACACAAACACTACACATACACCAACACCCCACTACGCAAAAGCCACACACATAGAAACACCACACATACGCAAACACCACCACACATACACAAACACCGCCACACATACACAAACACCACCACACATACACAAACACAACACATACACAAACACCACCACACATACACAAACACCACACATACACAAACACCACCACACATGCACAAACACCACCACACATACACACACACGTATATATATATATATATATATATATAAACAGATACCACACGCACGCACGCTCACACGCAGATTCATGATGAGTCTACACTCAGACTCGAACTCGAGAAACGCGTATAACTCGCCGGACCCACTCTGTATGAATAACGCTTCCTTGAACGCTCTTCAGAACTTGCAGCCATGGGCAGACGACGCAAGCCACCGGTCCAGCCTGCCTTCGCTGTCCTCGTCACCCTCGCCAATTTTTTCTCTAGGCAACGCCAGTAGTAACACCAACGCTAATGTTAGCGCTGATGTCAATAGCGGATTTGGTCATTTCCAAGGAATCGGAGATAACAATAATAATAATAACAACAATGATAATAATAATAACAGTGTTATTAGTAATAATTCAAGTAACAACAACGTTAAAATAAACCAATCTACTGCTACTGCAGCTACTGCTGCTGCTACGACTAACAACAACACTAATACCGGCCTCATTTCCAATGCAATTAATGCCACTAACACCAAAAATAACAACAACAACACACATAGTAATAATAATAACAACAACAACAATTACAGCAACAACAAAAATATGCCTAACTTTCCATTTGCTAGTTACGGCAACAACATTTATAACAACAACAACATCAACAACAATGACATCAGCGATGATGACGACGACGATGACGACGACGAAGATGATGGTGATGGTAATGATGGTGCCGTTAATAGCATTTAGAGACACTAATTTATAAAAATTTATGAAATTATAACATGGATTATTTATTTATAAATAAAAACCTATGACGTCATCTCAGGGGTGCCAACCACCCGCCCCTTGAATGTTGGAGGCAGACTACCACAGAATTTTTAATTGATTTAAAAAAAATTTACATTCAACAAAAAAGGTTAAACTTGCTAAAGTTTTGGCAAAATGGTTTTCTATTTTTGATGGTCAGAAAATAATAAAGATAGTTTCCACCGATTTTCTTAAAATAAAATGTTTCCCTCCTTAAGTTAAAATGGGGGCCCTACCCAGCTTTTTCTGTAGACGCCAGGTGTCACCCATGTAATTAAACCAAAGACAATGAATCGTTAATTAGTTAAATATACAAGTATTTATATTTATGTAGAGCTTTATTTGGTTGAAATGTTATCAATTGTAAAAAAATTATGTTACTTATTTGCAATTTTTTTAGTGTTTATTTAAATTTTAATTAAATTAAACTTCGTTTTGAGTCTTTTCAATTAAACTGTCGATTTAAACTTAAATCGGGTGCGTGCGTGCGTGTGTATGTGCGTGCGTGTGTGTGTATGTGTGCGTGTGTATGTGTGCGTGCGTGCGTGTGTGTGCTGTAAATATAACAAATTATTTTAATTATTTAAGCATTGCATTATGTAATATATTGTGTTGTTAGTGACGTACCTAGCATTTTTATTTAATAATGTTGTCGTTACGTTATTGTTTGTTTTCTATTGCTTCTGTGTTTGTCACATTACGACAAAACCACTGAAATTTGGCAAGAGGAAGAGAGAGAGAGAAAGAGAGAGAAAAAGAAAATAGAGAAAAAAAGAAGAGAGAGAGAAAGAGAGAGAGAGCAATAGAGTGTAGCAAAATGAAAGAGGAAACAAAAAACAAAAAAAGAGAAAAAGATGATCAGAATGAGACAAAGAAAGAGAAAATATTGAAAGAGAGAGAAAGAAAAAGTTAAAGATCAGAAGAAAAAAGATAGAGAAAAACAAAGATAGAGACGAAACTAGAAAAAGAATGAGAAAGAGAGAAAGAGAGAAAGAGAGAGAAAAAGAGAAGATATAAAAGTTAAGTCAGTTTGAATGTCATGTTTGTTTTTCTTGGTTTTAACAAATTTTTTTATTAATTTTAATTAAATTGACAATTGGATGTTGTGTCATATTTTGTTGCAAAATTTACATAAAAGAAAAACGTCTACATATATATATATATTTATCTATTTATTTATTTTATATATATATAATTATTGCAATGATTATTACCGTTACTGTCGCATATTAATTTAAAAAACTTTAGAAATTGTAATAATTTTTACGGTTGTTGTTGTTGGCAAAAAATTTTTAATAAAAATAAGAATAAATAAACTAACACCACACACACACACACACAAGCATACACAAACACACACGCATGTACACATACATATCTATATCTCTATGTATGTATGTGTGTGTGTGTTTGTGTGTGTGTGTGTGTGTTGGCGTACACCCACGTAAGTACCATGGATATCTATATAGATAGATGTACACAATGATTTACAATGAGTACTACTGGTGTACTACACAGTTCAGTACACATAATGCGGGGTGGATACATATGTAACGTGTTGTCCGTTCGACCGCTGGGAATTTGATTAAAAATAAACGCTATATAAATGCCTACTAAATTGACGGCAATGATGACGATGCTTGCGCGTGGAATGTTGCTGGCGATGACGACGACGATGATGATGGCAGTGGTGGTGATGGATGATGATGAGGAGGAGGAGGAGGAGGAGGATGGCACCTACTATGACGTCATCGCTGGCGTCAAAACGTCAAAATACAACCTTTTACTACTGCAGACAAACGTGTACATTTACACGCATTCGCACAGAAGTAAAGATGTACAAAAACATACAAACACACACATATATCCACACACACATACACATATATATATTTACACACACAAACGCAAACACACACACACATATCCCTACACACAAACCCATACACATATTCACACACACAAACAAACACACAAACGCACACACAAACAAACACACAAACGCACACACAAACAAACACACACACATACATACATACACACTCAATAAATAATACAGCCGCGGCATCATGGCACAATATAAAATAATTGCAGTAAGCTATTTAATTAGAGAGCTCTCTGCCAGGTCCGACCAACGTCGTTCCCGCCAAATATAACAAATAAAAGCTTTTTGCACTATCGTTTGACCGCGCACGTGCGCCCGTGTGCGTGCGTACCTGTGTGTGTGTGCGTGTGTCGGCATTTGTGTTGTGTGTGTGTGAGTGTGTGTGTGTGTGTTTGTTTGTGTGCGTGCGTGTGTTTGATGACGGTGCTGGCAATAATGACGCTGATGAAGATTATTATAACTAAACTTCCAGAAGCTCATGGATGTCATTCATACCTATATTTATATAATGGCTATGATGAAAGAAAAAGGTGATGACCAGAGAAGCCAATTTCGGACGTCAAAAGCACGCACAAACGTGTACAAACACGTACACATATTCACGCATACACACATTCATACATGCACACGTACACATTCACGCACGCATTTATACGCCCATAATCACACAAACACTTTCCTACATTCATATTAAATCACACACAAACACATACGTATATGTAGCATAACAAAATTTTAAACAGGCATACACACACACACACACACACACATACATACAGAGACGCACAGACATACACGCAAACAAATAGAGAGTAAGAGAGAGAGACGGATAGATGAGACTTCATATAATATTCAGTGATCTGGCGCTAAGACAAACACAACAATTGTCCTGTGTTATTATGATATTAGCGATCCATTTGTTGGCCTGTATGTGTGTACACGTTTCTGTGTACGTTTGTGTGCACGTGTGGATATTGCTAAGTGTGTGCGCATGTTTGTACGTAAAAACGCATATATATACGTATACACATTAGGTCGCTTGTATGTGTTTTGATGATTACGTGTATTGGGTAAAAGTTTGCGTTTTTGAGAAACTTTCATAACGTTCAAGTGCATTAAAATGCATTTTTTTACGTTAAACAGTCACAGACAAATACAAACACGCATAAAAACAAACACACACGTGTATGCACATACACATAGACACACATAGGAACACATACTTGCACGTGCACAGATGCACACACGCATACGAACGTACACCCTTAAATGACATTGTTGCCCTTCTCCAATCAATTTGCATCCATTAATAACACATACGTACGTACGCGCGTGCGTACACACACCACACAGACACACACACACAGACACAAACATACATATTATAAACGCAAAATATATAAATTCCTTTTTGTATTAAGGTTTATGTATTTTTATCTTGTATTTCCCAGTTGTCGTATATTTATAAATACACACACACACACACACAAACACACACTACACACACAGACACACACACACCAGCGTATACGTATAAGTGTTTGGTGCGTGTGTGTGTGTGTGTGTGTGTGTGTGTGGTGTGTACGTGTGTTTGTGTGTGCAAACAGACCAACAAACATTGTGTCATTGTAATTAACGATTGTCAACAAACGAATGTTAGCGTTAAAAATATGAGCTTATGTATGTGTTTATCACATCAAGCGTCACTTAGAACGCTGTCACGATGATTGTCATCGTCATTATATTTGTCATCCTTTATTATCGTCATCATACCATTTTTTTTTCATTCACTCATCATCATTATCATTATCATCATCTCCTTCTTCCTCTTCTTCTTCTTCTTCTTCTTTTTTCTTCTTCTTTTTTTTCTTCTTCTTTTTCTTCTTCTTCTTCTTTTTCTTCTTCTTCTTCTTCTCTTCTTCTTCTTTTTCAGAATCATCATCCCCGTCTGTATATTTCATCATCATCATCATCGATCTAGTAATAATAGCAACAATCATCTGCCTCATCTTCATCATCATCATCATTATCACCTTTTTATTCTGCTTCTTCAACAACATCATCAACTTCTTCTTCTTTTTCTTCTTCTTCATAGTCAACTTTTTCTTCAGCCTCATCATAATCTTCAGCATCTTCTTGTTACCATTAATTAAAAAAAAGATACTAATGGTGGTGATAATTGTTGAGACGATGATGACGATACTGATAATGGTGGAAATGATGATGATGATGATGTTGGCGCGGAAATATCACAAACTCATTTGACAGTTAAAAGTTCAAACGTGCCTATCATTCATTTGCTGAAAACATACGTCGCCTTCTTACATTAATGACAATCAACATACATACAAACATACATACACACACATACATAATACAAACGAACGAACAAATAAATATATATATATACACACACATCTATACACATACACACACACACACACACACACACACACACATACATACATACAAACAAACAAACAAACAAACAAACATACATACATAGAACGCATACAATACAACACATAAACAAACATATACATTATACAATCCTACACATAAATCACATACACTACAGATAAAGCATACGCGCGTATATGCACCGCAGAGTACGCGCGCAAAAATTTAGACCGTTTTAAAATATTGAATAACAATTTGACCAATTAGAGAAGAAAGAGTCTGTTTAAATAAACATCAGTGGACAGTGGGCAGTAGCTCGTTTGAAGGCCGCTACAGAAGCCGGTCATCCGGGCTAATTTAATTTCATTCACATTAAAATCTAAAACTACGCAAATTGATGTTCATAAGAAAATATTATTGCACGCCGTGAAAGAGGTATTATTATCATTATTGCTATTATAATTATTATTATTATTATTATTATTAGAATTGGCAAGAAGTATGTGATATGTATGGTACATTTTTAACAAGGAGAATGTAATAGCATTCTACAACGCTTATTACATGCATGCAATGCTTTCGAATAAAACAAACTACAAAAATGGTGGTTAGTCCTTCATACGAGTTAATGCAATGTAACGTTGATGAAATGATTTGCTACCAATGTTTGCAAACAACTACCTAAAATTTCGTTTAACAAAAAAGAAAAAATATATATACACACCTACTTACACTACACTTATGAAGACGCACCTAAAGATGATAGAAGGTTTCATTGATAATTCATGGGACATGACTCTCTGATGCTTAATTTCTTTTCCTTCATGCATCATACAGACGTGACAGCTGCTGCAGTAAAAGCAGCTGAATTAAAATTGAAACATTCCAACGCAACATGTGTGGTGTAGATAATGTGTGTTGTTGTACACGTATACAACAAACAACAATCTGTCGTGTGTTATACGAAAAATTGTGTTGTCCCGAATGTAATATTTGTTGTTTAACTGGTTTTTATTCAAAAATATTTAGTAACTGAAACTTTAATTTGGTCACCCGTTTAAAAACCTAGTGGTTGTTTCTTGAAAGAACTGTATGAGCAAAAATCACTTTAAAAATGTATTTATTGTATTTTTGAAATTTATCAAACCTCCCTAGTTAATTGATAAGTAGCAAAAATTCTTAAACATAGGAATTCTTATTTGAATTCCATTCACGTAATGTTTCAAGACTGTTGAACGTTTTCATTCAAGCGATTTAATTGTAATTTAAACGGCCATCCCTAAAAAAGTAACGGCTCACGGGATTTTGACGATCGCACTGTCAGTTTCGAACTGTTGTTGTCGCGATTGAACCAGCTTTTAAACGATTCAACAGTAATTCTATTGCCCCGTTTTTTTGGAAATTTTTAAAAATTTAATTTAATTTGAATTCGAAATTGATGTTAAAAAAGTTTGAATTGATACATAAATTTGGTTAAATAAATGAATAAATTTGAATGAATTCGGTGAAATAAAATAAAACAATGAAAAGTTTGGGTTTAAGTGGTTTCCTTGTTGAGGACATGTTCAAAGTAACGATGAGAAAAATATCATTCAAAGATCTGTGCTCAGACGCCAATATTTTCGACAACGTAAGAACAAAAAATGAGCTCAAAGCAATGCAGGAAGAGCAATTAAAATTCGAACAACTCAAAGAGTTAAAAAATCAAATAAAAATTGGCACCATAATAAACCTCTCCGTGAAAAACAATGAATCCAGTATCTACAAGAACGTGACTAGTATTCTAGAAGAACTCATAAAAAATGTCACACTTCTGAACAACTTAAAACATGCTTCCCATAAAGCTGGATTAATTTATTCTAACAGCCCTCTTACTAATTATTTTGAAAGTTACAATCAGCTCAAAAACATGTTAATAGAAGAATTTGATGAAAATATGATGGACCAAAAATATTTTTTAGAAAGTCTTGAAGAAGTTAATATAGAGGACAGCAGTGGAACAGACGACATTGAACGATTGAAAGTTTTCTTACAAATTGCTCACTTGCCAGAAAGCAGTGAAGAACCACAATTTCTAGAAATGATAAACCATACACCTCAAACCCTCTTAGACATATTGTCTGAAGAAAAAGACTATAAAACTCAAGACGTTAAAGACTTCATACCACCAAAACTACTGAAAAACTATGACAAATTCACAGACCTACCCAAAAACCTGCCAGAAAGTATCTACTCCAACCTACCCTGCTCTGCCAGGGCCAATTACACCACAATCGACTTTAAAGAATTGAACCTTATACTGAGGCATTATGGCATGTCGAATGCAGAGCTCCAACAGCTCTGCAACAACATTCTTCGTGAGATAAAAACCCAACCATTTCTACTTTGCTTCCTATCTTCATTTGAATCGAAAAAGGCCAAACAGCTTTTAACAAGTCTTGGAAATCTAAAGGACTTACTCCAGGAGAAACTGAATCTAGACCCTCAACAACACTTCATCAGAGATCTATACTACAAATCAGTGAATAACCGACTATCAAACTATCGCACCATCGTAGAACTCTTATTGAAGTTGAGGAAACAAGTTATAGATGATTCACTGAAAAAGGTAATCGTTTTTCTAATCAAAATTTTTTGTTTCATTATTCCGTCAGTAATCTATTGACCTTTTGATGTGGTGAACAATAACTTAGAAAGTTGTTCACGAGTTAGTCCAAGCATAATAACAAACCTATAAAGTTTTTTTTATAAATAATAAACAAACAATTGTCGGAAATTTATTCATTTATTAATATTAACAAAGTGACATTGTCATACAAGTTACATGTATCAATGCTTCTAAACATGACAATAGCACAATGTTTATGCCTTCTTCTTTGACACACCAACTGTTCTTCCTCTTCTGCCTGTTGTCTTTGTGTGTTGACCTCTCACTCTCAAACTAGAATATTTATTTACCGTTCAGATTTCAAAAAGATAGAAATATATTTATTAAATATATTTATAAAAATTTAATTAAAATATCAAGTTTAATGACATTTTATTAAATTTCATTTTTTCACAAAAATGTTTTGAAACAAAATAAAACACTAATGAGCTGCAGAGTTGTACACAATTTTTAGAACCAAATCAATGTTATGCATTGACATTAAAATCAGTATTGCTAAAAAATTGAAGTGTAAGAATGTAGCAAACCCCCAGAAATGTCTCAATCCTCTGTGTGCTCTTATCTTCTTTAATCTTTCAAGATCCTCACGAATCTTACTGTCCAAAATGTTGGACATGGCCTGCGAGTATTTGCCATCTTTAATGTCCTTTTGTCTATTCAAAAACCAATCCGGGATTTTGTACTGGCGAGGGTTGCCCATTATCGTCACCAACTTCTCAACCTTTATAAAATTAATGAAAAAAGTCCTGTAACATAAATGTGGCATTACCTTATGTTGTATTCATAACATAAATTTATTTTTATCAACAAAATTATTTTCTAAAAATTATAAAAGCTACATTTTGAGGAACAAAATGAACGATGAAAACCAAAATCAATCATCACCATCTTCACTTACCTCTTCCTCAGTAAGTTCTCCTGCTCTTTTTGTTACATCGACGTTGGCTTTCTTGCAGACAACGTGAGCATAACGACGACCAACTCCCTGCGAAAAATATTTTATTATTAATTGCAGATTTTTCATTTACATTTTACACTCAAGATATAGCTTATTCAGCATCTAATGAATGCCATAGTTAAAATGGCTTACACTAATATGCTCAACACAATGACTGTTTCACCTTGCTGTAATAACTTAGTTAAAAAAAGGTAAAAAATAGCAAGTCGTACGTGACTAAAAGACTAAACATTAGCCAACTGAACTCATTTTCTCGAATTTGGCACAAGTGACACATGAACAATAAGGTCTTACTATCATTAATAAAACGTTTTGATTGAATTTTTAAAAACGATAATCGACACCGGATACATCAAAAGTTTGAGAGTGGTTCTTTGTTTATTTATGGCTTCAGGTGAGAATTGATTAGAAAAAGCGTTTTCACTAGCGATTCACACAAACTTTAAAATTTTCAAGTAAAACATTTTTGTTTGTGCTAACCTTGATGGCGGTCAAAGCGAATGGGACTTTTCTTTTTCCATCGATATTCGTGTTCATAACACGAAGAATGTGCTGAAAACGTTCGGGCAGTACCAACGACTGAAAAAGAATTTTCAAACATATTGAAACCACATTTAATTTTTTAGTAACATTCTTGCAGTTACATAAATTTGTATAGAAAATGTAATTAGAAACACCAATTTTGGAATAAAATTTAAAAAGATGCAAACAGATTAAATTTCCACCAACCATTGTCGCTAATGTTTGCAAAAAAAGGACCGGATGTTGTTATTTCGTACCGTCTATGACTTGTGGGTGCATTTTTAAATTCGGGTTCTTTGTTTGAAAATATTTTGTATTACAGACTAGTGAAGTTGAAGATGAGATTCGTTTATTGAGATTCGAAGGTAGAAATAAAGAACACGAACATGAAGATTGGAAAACAAGAAATGAGTGCTTGCATGCAACATTAAGAGAGACAGAAATAGAGGATTTTGAAACAGCCGCAGAGCAATTCAAACAAAGTCACTTTAATAAGTTATTGAATAAATCCATGGCTAAACATTGGAAAAACGAAAAAAAACTTGTACACGTGAGTAGTTTCATTTGATCATTTATTTCATATCTGTTCGTTAATCTCATGAAATTTCAGTATAGGAACTGAACTATAGCACGCTAATCTAATGATGACCAGTTAGCTGATTAGCGTCATTATACATAATGCCGTCTCATTGACTAATTTTGTCATTGTCATCCATTCATGATTAAAATTTACATACAAACATGACATTCATCGTTTAAACGTCAAAAAAACTAAAAAATGTATAAGAAGCATCAGGATTATGACATATTTATTAGACCGTAACATCATACATAAGTCAGCATATACAAATCTGCTGTAAATAAAATAATATAATATTTCGTTTTGTTTAGTATTATAAAGAATAAAAATTTTCAGAAAAATTATATTCATAATAATGCAACTAAACCTTAATCACAGAGAAAGCGTTTTCTGATAGAAGAATTAGAATTGGTAAGAAAAAAATACGGAGAGAAAATGTCTGAACTATGGGTTCGTACTTCTTGGCGAGATATTTAACTCATTATTTTTATGCTGCTTATTATTACTTTTAAAAAAATTACGTTCAATCATTTTAGACGGAAATCGAGACCACGAAAAAAATCTATCGGCGAGAAAAAGTAGAAATATTCATCGACGTTGAGAAAAGGTACAAATCATCAAAAGCCACATTCGACATGATTCTGACAGAAAGAGAACGAGATTTTAGATCGGAGAAGAATGGTCACTTGATCCAGATCCGACGAAACCTTGCAGCTGCGAAAATACAAAATTGGTGGAGGGCCTACAGGGTGAGAAAACTTTCAATTATGAAAAAGAAACTGAAGAGGAAAGCCACCATCAGAAGTACAAAAACTTTGTCATCTATTGCAACGATGATCAACGGTTTCAACATGTTCGATGATGACTTCACAAAAACCACGCCGACCCTATCTAACACTTTAACCGGAAATACGTTAACTTCAAGAAATTCAAAGACCATCATTCCAGCAGAATTACCGACCGAAGTCTTTGGTGATGTGAAACCTTAAAACGAAAATGTGTTTCTTTATAATAAACTGCTTATATTCTAACCTTAGTTCGTAATTTTCAGTTTCAGTTACTTAAAATACACTACGCTGTATCATTCATACGCGAACTGCCTCGATAATGCAAATTCATTATTTTGTGTTTATCAGGTTTGAATTGAAGAAATACGATCATTAAAATATAACGAGTTTCCTTCATGATACATGTATATATATACAATTTAATCATTCAAAAAGACGAAGACACAAAAATGAAAGTCAAGAATTGAATTGAAAAAAAAATGAGTGGAAAATTATTCCAGCACAACAACATTAACAAATGACTAAAATGTGAATTAATTTATCCAATAAAATTTGTTATTTTTCTCTCCTGGTATAAATTACTGTACAATTTCGAGTATAGCTATCAACAACAGAATTAAAATCAGTAAATCAGAAATAGGAAGGAAGAAAGGCTAAATAGCGTAAAGCTTTATTGGTTTGAGAAAGTGTCTCAAGTACAATACTTGTAAGGATGGTGTTTCTGCGACAACTTTTCTCTTATTTTTCTTTTTTATTAAAATGATTAAGAAGGATGGTGGAGTTGGATCAGAGGAAGACTTTATTCACTATGGACCCTCCAAGTTATCATGCTACAGTGTTCCCTTCTATCCTAGCATATGCGTGTAGAAATATAAATCAATGATTGTGACGAACGCTACAGCTAGCATGACAAAAAGAAATAGTTCAATAAGAAAAAAAAACACGAAAAATTATAAAATCAAAAACGAAAAAACATTGCTTCAAGAAAGTAAGCTCTTAACGAAATTATGATGTTTTTATTTAATAATAATTTTATTATTATTATAATAATATTATTGTAAATACAGATTACAGTGTGATTCGTAATAATAAATATAAGTAATAAATGCAATATGGAGGAGAGAGAGAATATGATTCCCATATATATATATATATATATATATATATATATATATATATATATATATATGTGTGTGTGTGTGTGTGTGTGTATTTCTTATGAAAATAGAGATAAACACAATTACGCGAGTGTGTGGTTTTAGGAGAAAAAGAGTTTTCAAATTATTTTCCTTTTAAAATCTTAAATTGAAATTTTCAAACAATTCAGACGCAATTCTATCCATATTGAGAGAATTATCCATCTAAAAGCCCGCGTCATTTTAATAATAAACTTTGTATCTATCTGTCTACCACAACGGGAAAAAACATGTCGAAAATGATATAGTATCATCGCGATGACCCTTCATAATATGAGTACACTTAAGTTGTGATATACACATAGACGTATTAACATGCTCACAATAGTCAGCCCACACACACACGCATAAATACACACACAAGCACAAATACACACACACGCACAAACAAACATACACACTTAAATCCAAGAAACAATTTGCAGACAGCAACGGCAATAACATTAATCATACAAACAAAGTGACAAAAGTTATATCAGCCAACTACCTATAAATTTATATCGTTAATAAGTCGTAGATATACATAGATAAAGCGCTGTATCATGCTAGTATCCATGTTAGTATCTAATCTATAGAATAAGCATAGTATAGTAACCATAGATGCAGTTTCTAATTGATAATTTCACTAAAATAAGACATACAAATAGTTTTTTAAAAGTTGATGTAATGAATTTTTAAACGAAGTTCTATATAAACTTGCAAATAAATCACTCTTTAACTAAAAAATACTTTTAAGATAAGAAATTTGTGAAGAAAAAAGCTAAATCATTGCATATACATACATAAATAAATTACAAACATTTTTGTTAACACACACAAACACACACACACACACACACACACACACATCCATTCACGTGCATAAGCCAGCCAAAACATGTACTATATACATTAGTTAAGATACACAGACAGAAAAACATGTAACGTTTTTTCTGAGATATTTCCATTACCTATATGTGTACAGAATTAATCTTTAATAAGTAATTAGCATATTGAGGTGAATATTTCCTCAAAAAAGCAATAATAAAATAAAAATGTAGTAGTAGTAATAATAATAATAATAATAATAATCTTGAGTTGTATAAAATGGAAACAGATGAACCTTCGAATAAGACTTCCACCAAATGCATTAGGGAATAAAAAATATTTGTAATGATTAAAACTTAAATTGAAATATTAAATTAAAAATGTACACTTCCGTACGTACACGCACGCCACACCCCCCCCCCTCACACACACACGCACGTCTTTATTATAAAGATACGGCTTATAATATTACGGTGAATTTGGAATGTAAAGTTTATTTATTTATTTATTATCATACCTAAAATGATAATAATAATAAATAATAATAAGTCCTTTAAATAATAATAGATAAATAAATAAATAAAATAAAAATAAGTGAAATATAACCAAAAATTTTTCCAGCACATTTTGACACGAATATTTATAATAACACATACACATGAATATAAACTTAACGTTTGTCTTTACAAATACGCATACATATACACACTATACATACATACATACACACATATATACACACACAAACAAACAAACAAACGAACGAACAAACAAACACACAAACATTTTTTAGTAGTTATTCAAGAAGCACTGATATTGTTATCTATTAGCATCGATAGAACAGTCAGTTAAAGAATAAATCTATCGAATATATACATAACTTTATATTAATGTTAATTCTCTCTCTCTCTCTCTCTCTCTCTCTCTCTCTCTCTCTCCCCTACTCTCTCTCGTCTAAGAAGGATGATGAATGATAATTATTTATTTATTTATTGTTGTTGTTGTTGTTTGATGAGTTGATCTCACTGATGATCTGTCGTTGGAAGAGGGCAGGGTCCGTCAGGATGCAAGTGCTGGTGCATAACTTTCTCAAGGAATTCGACAGGACTGTTTGCAATGATGGTAGTGGTGGTGGTGTAGTTATTTCATTTAATTATCAATTAATTAATTATCAAGTAATTAATTAATTAATTTAAAAATTTTATTTATTTGCATATTATAAAGTTTTTAATGAAATGAACAAAAAAGATGAATTTACAAACAAAGTAAACAATAGCAACAAAACAAACAAACAAAATAACATGTAAATGAAAAACTCCAGAAAGCCATACTTGGTCTAAGAGCAGTTAACGAACAATGTTCACTCAGCCATTTGTGAACAGACTTGTTGAACAGTTCTTCGTTCACAGTGCAAACAACTTCATCATACGAAGAGAACAATGGTTCAGCTAGCAAACCAAACTGAACATAGATAATAATAATTATAATGTTAATGGTTTTCCTGCTTTGTTATCGTAATTCTTTCTCTGTATACATGCTGAAGTAAAACACTGAAACATATTTTGGTTATAAAGTTTTAACCACAAGAATTAGGCAATAAACAAAAAACCCACAATTTTGAACTTCCAATTGTCTCGAGATCTTCGATCGACGAAATCGTAGAACATGTCTTTGGTAAGGTTGACCTTTGACCTGGCGACCATAGCTGACGTGGGAAGGCCCGTTGCTGGTAGCTGTGAGTGGACACACCTGCAACCACAATAATACAAACCACCGTCATCTTCACTGTCATCGTCACATCTTCTCCACTTTTATAATCATCATGACAACCTGATAGCTTTCTCGTGCATTTGAACCTCCAACCTCAGCTGATCAATGGCGTCCTGGTGGTCCTGTCTCTCTGACTTCAACTTCCTCACAAACTCAACAGCTGTGGTGAAAATGGTGATAAAAGTGGTGATGATGTGATGATGAAAACGATGGCGATGATTACGACGATGCATAAATCAAGAGAGCGTCTAAATGATTACATAAGTGACAACGATGATGATGACGACGACGACGACGACAAAAACAACGGTGATAATGCTGATAATGATGATGCTGATGATTGTGAGGATGATGAGAGTGATGAAAACTTTGATGATAACATAAAAATGAAATACCTTTATGTAGAGTAGTGGCCTTACTGACTCTCCCTCCATGTGACTCGCTAATATTAGGGGTCAGAAGGTTCAAGGTGTCAAGCCCACACTGCAAGTTAAAGAATATCAAACATTGAATAAAAAAAAATAATGTAATTAATAATTACGAACAATAAATCATATAATGTAAACACATGAATTAATAGCCAAAACACAGAGATGTGACAGTCTGAGATCTCTTCGCATTCGAACCAGATCCCTGCTACAGCAGGATCAGATAACACCGTAACCATTACGCCATTTCGCCACCAAATAATTGTATAATATGAAGAGACATCACATACCCTGATGCTAAATCTTCTTTTCTGCTCGTATGTGACGTGAGATTTCCTCCTCAAATTCTTTAGACTCTGTACCTGATGCTAAAAAATTGTCAGAAGTTTTTGTACTTTACTTTACCTTAGGGTCAGTCAGGGTCTGCAACCAAGGTTACTATGAGTTTCGTCAAGATAATATGTAAATAAACGTTATTATCACTAACCTCGTCATCAGCTTAGTCAAACGCAAACAAATACCAACACACACACACAGACAAATGCACACAAACTTATAGACATAGACAGACAGACATTCAAAATTACTAACATCATCAGTGTAAGAGCAGTTAGACTCATTGCTGGCGTGTCTAGACCTATCCATCAACTTCACTGCACCAGATGACAAATTGTCCTAATTCCATTTGAATTTAAATAACTCATAAATATATATAATACTGAAATACTATATTAATATTAATAATAATAAAAACAATATATAATTAAAATAATCATTATATATGACCATAAATAGTTAAAGAATAATTTATTTATCAATTTACATCAGATGAAAAGTTGCTCCAAGCACTAGAAGTCCTGGAATTTTCAGCTGAATCTGTCATCGTCATCATCATCATCATTATTATTAATATTATTATTATTACTGTTAACAATCACTATTATCAATAATTATTTTTACTATTATATATTATTATTATTATTAATTATTAATAATATTATATTATTTCGAAATCTCAGGAATGATATACACAACTAGCGCGCTGCATGAAATAATGAAGGTAAAAAAACAGTAAGAGCCATAGAGAATGTTTTTACCATAGAAAAAAAAACACAACTGAAGCACTAAGTACTACTAACATGGCAAGGAATATCCACCATGAGCTGAGCTATCACCAAAAGTGCTTTCATGCTCCACGTGCTGAGATTTTTAATAATAAAATAATAATAATAATAATACAATGGAAACTCTTCTATTTCGGCCAAAGTCGTTAAAATGAAAGAAAATAAAAGTAATTAAAAATGTAATAATAATAATAATAAATAGTAATTAATAAAATAATTAAATAAAAATAAAATAATTAATAAAATGTAATAAATAGGACAAGTGCAAAACGGTTTTGTATTCAAATTGGTTATGAAGTATTCCTATCCCAATATATGGCACAGGTCGACCCAATTACAGAGTCTATTAATTTGTTAATAAATGATGATAATAATAATAATAACGATAATGATAATAACGATAATAATAATAATAATGTAATAATAATAATGACGGTACGAACGTAATAACGATAATAACCTTATTAATATTTTCAGCGTCTGAACAAGATATGAAACTAACATTATTACTAATATTATTATCAGTATTGATATTATTATTATTATTATTATTATTATTATTATTGAAATTGTAAATAACGTTGGTATTGTTATTGCTTTTATTGCAGTAATTATTATTATTACTATTGTTGTTGTTATTGTTGTTGCTGTTGTTGTCAAACAAGTACATAGGATTTATAGCCTGGAATATTGCATTCAATGAATTATTGCCTGCTATCATCCTATCAAATGCCGATGATGACAATGACGTCAGTGACACTGATGACGACGACGACGACGATGGGATAGATTGTGATGATGATGACGATGGTGGTGAAAATGATAGCAACGATTGTGGTGGTGGTGGTTTAGTTTTTGAGAGGTAACTTTTAAGAGGCGACGATGATGGTGGTGGTGCTGGTGGTAGTGGTACTTGACTGGCTGCCGTCTTAGTTTCTAAAATTTGTATTTGAAATATAGGAAGAGATTTTAAAAAATCAATAAAACCAAAAAAATATAAAAAATTTGAAATTGTAATACAGTAAAACTTCGTTATTTCAAACTCAGTTACAAAGTACCCTTTGTTATAAAACTCGAACGTTTAAAACATTTTTACATGCCTTTTGTAGGGAATATAACATAGGCAAATATAGCTTATTTTCAACAAGAAGTACCAAAACTTCAGTCAGTTGAAAAAAAATGCCACTTTGATTTGTTGAATATAATTGAGTTAAGGATGGTATCAAAAAGTTTTTTGTTTATAAGGTTTCAAACATTCTCATGCTGGTCTAAGCGTATCTCAGATACGTTACGATTTTACGATGTAAGTTACGACTAGGCTACAACAAATTTCTACTGTATAAGTTATCAATGGAAAAAAAGATTGCATAATACATACACAGTGTCACAGAAAGAATTGTAAAAAAAAAATGAGAAAGTTAGCCTACTATCAGATCTGAGTCGGCGTCTTTTGCTACCATTATTGTTGTTGCTGTTGTTGATGTTGTTATTGATGTTGTTGATATTGCTTATCTTATTAATGTAGTTGTTGTTGTTGCTGCTGTCATGATCATTGCAGTCTTTCAATATGGACGACGATGGTTTGTAAACTGAATAATTTACATTAAAAATGACATCAACATTGACGACAACCATAGCTCATTCATTCATCTATTTATTTATTTATTTACAATCCATCATAACATCACATGAAAAAGTTCATGACAACATTTTGAAAACAAACTTGAATGAAATAGTGGAAGAGTTATGTTTAATAAAAATTATCCTCAAAAATTTAAATTTGAAGAGACGAAGAAACTAGACCTGCTCCAAAGGTAGGTGTCTTGAAATCACAGAGCTTATCACAAAACGTAACTGTAGTTGATGACATTGACGATGACGTCAGTTGCTGCTGTTGCTGATGATGATGTTTATAAAGAGCAGATGATAACGACGACGGTGACGATGAAGACGATGGCAGTAATGCTCTTTTGGTGTTCTGAGATGATGAGGGTGAAATTTTTAATGATGACTGCAGTAACGATGAGGATGATAATAGCGATGACGTAGTTGATGACGTCGTTGCAGCTGACGTTGCAGTCTGTTTCGGCTGGATGGTTATGAAGGCAGCAGATGGCATCGCTTGTTTACCAGCTGATTTGTTCTGGTGTTGGCTCTGGAGTAATTACATTTCCATAATTAAAATAATAATAATTATTATAATTCGATCGAAACTAATTATTGCTAATAAATTACAATAAATGAATAAATAGTTATATAATTAAGAATTAATTAAATATCAAACTAACTATAGCCTTACATCTTTCAAGCCAAACATTCATTATAAATCTACTACCATTAGAACAAAAGAATATTCAACTAAAACACGCACGCACACATATGCACACACATATACACATATATACTCATACACACACAAACGGAATACATACAAAGATTCATATGATTTTTTTTTGTCTCCGAGCATAATGAGTCAGCAAATTTTTTTAAAAGTAATTAGAAAATAATAATCTAAATTTGTCATAACAACAAAAGATTAAATAATATTAACTGTTAGAGAGAGAGAGAGAGAGAGAGAGAGAGAGAGAGAGAGAGAGAGAGAGAGAGAGAGAGAGAGGGAGGGAGAGAGAGAGAGAGAGAAACACAAATATACACATACACGCACACACACATCTAGGTTACATAAAATCCTTCCCTTCCCTCAGATATGTACATCACAAAAAAAAACAAGCAAGAAGTAAACTAACAAACCTTCAACAACTCAACAGTAAATCTTTTATTTACATATTCAATATGATTTTATTGACCAATTGTATAAAATCATGCCATACAGACCAGTGCAGTTATACAAATGATCAACAAAATGAACACTTAAACTTAGAGCACTCAAATATACAGCTGTTCAGTGTTCATACTTACAACAACACACGTTTAGACGACATTTTCCCCGAGATCGGGGGTTGCCGTTTGGCTACCTGATGAAACCGAAATACCCCTCGACGCCATTCACATCTGTCAGTGTTCATACTTAATAATATATAAATTCAAATACATATATAAATTCACAACTTAACATTAATTACATTGGAACCAATTTCAAGACAACCAGGTCCTTGGCTGTATGTGTTTTTTTGTTTAGTTGAATGAATGATGTTTATTTAACCTTTAAGACTAAATTTTCAAAAAGTATTAGCTATTTATCCATTGAATGATAAATGTTCTTTCAAAATTTCATCTCTCTCTCTCTCTTTCTCTCTCTCTCTCTTCTAGAAAGAGGGCGAAAATGAAAAAATCTAACCTGAGGTACTCTGAAATTAGTCGCTCGTTTGCCGTGCATGCAGTCCGTGGATGAATGAAGTTGATTCATGCCTTCGTTCATTGATCCTTCGTGTATGGAGCCTTAGTGCGAGAAGAGAAAAATACAGAAAATAATAAAAATCACATATCCATATTAGCACATATGTTGGTCATATTTGTACATAATTATTTATGTTGGATATATTTATTTAGAAATATTATTCAAATAAATTATGCTATCAAATTGAAAAAGATATATGTATGTATATATATATATATATATATATATATATATATCTTTTTTATCTTATCTAAACTATCTTGTTCAACTGTTGTGTTATCAGAGCAAAACTATCAGGTAATATCGGTATTATATCATTAGTAGATACTAGAATAGTCAAAACATTCATGATATATTCAGATGTACATACATACACACATACACATACATATATACACATACACACAATATAAACATACATATATATTTAAATATTAAATCTGACAAAATCTAAAGAGATATTAACAATTTATTTACCTAAACTTTTGCTGCCAAAATTTGACACCAGTTCAAAGTTGTTAAAAGTGTTACAGTTGTCACTAATGTCATCAGAACTGGCGTTGTTGTTCTTGTTGTTTATACTATTGCCATTGATGTTATTAATGCTAATTATGTTGTTATTAATGTTGTTGTTGCCATTGTTGTTGAGAGTGCTGTTAACATTAACGCTTTCAGGTATGATGCTATCTTCTGATGGAAGGATTGAGATGAATTTAAATACCAGTGGCTGTTGTTGTTGCTGTTGATGTGATTGAGCAATCAAATGTTGTTGTTGTGTCGGTTGCATTAGAATGCATCTTTGTGGCTGCTGCATGTTCTGCTTTATTGCTAATTGTTGCAATGCACGTTGTTGTTGTTG